AAATAAATGTGTTACTAAAAGAGCATGTTTTATGGACAAAACAGTAAATATAACATCTGTGTATTTTTAGGTGTAGTTACTATGTTACAGTTTTTAGTGTTTTAGAGGCTGAAACTCACTGATTAGAAACGAGGACCTCCTCCACCTGGATCACGGGTCCAGTTATGGGGTGCAGAGCCACAGAGTCCCCTGGTTTCACTCTCAGGTTGTTCTGAGCACTTTTCTGGAGKCCGACCCGTCCACCTGGGAAGGAGGCAACGGGCCAAGCCAAACACACCTGCAGGTGAGAGGAAACATCAGGAGCTGGCAGGAAACCTCCAGGCAGGTTCAGAGAGGAGGAGGAGCCACGAGTACCTCCTGGTGTCCCGAGGGACTCGTCAGCAGGACCGGTCTCGCGATGGAAACACCAGCAGACTTCATGGMGTTGAGGCTCATTTGGGCCAAAGATGATCGGCAACTTCTGGGTGTTCTGTCGTCGGCTGGGAGGCAAAAAGTCAGACACTAATTTACTAAAAACATCTGGATTCTGTCGTCTTTCAACACTTCTGCCTATTTTTGCTACATTTCATTCCTTATTTTGATACTTTTAACTGTCCTCCTTAAACTTTAGCTTTTAGCTTGTTGTATTTTGTTACTGTAATCAGCTTTTGCTACTTTTAGCTTAAACTGCCCTTTTGCTACCTTATAGCTAGCCTTATGATACATCTGGTTTCAGCTATTGTTTTGTTTCTTTGGCTATTGTTTTGCTACTTGTACATTTTAGGTAACGTTTTCATACGTTCAACTCTAACTAGCCTTATGCTACTTTTAGCTAGCCTTATGCTACTTTTAGCTAGCCTTATGCTACTTTTGGCTAGTCTGTTACTAGCTTTAGGCTATTGTTTTACTACTTGTCTCTTTAGTTGGCTTTTGTACAACATTTAGCTTTAGGTATACAGTTTTGACTTAGCTTTTAGCTAGCCCTGTACTGCTTTTAGCTACGCTGTCGCTACATTTAGCTTTTGTTACTACTTAAGCAATTGTTTTTCTACTTGTGGTTTTAGTTGGATTTTGTACAACATTAGCTTTAATTAGTCATTTTTTAATTTTTAGCTTGTCTTACAATATTTTAGCTAGTATGTTGTTACTTTTGGCTATTCTTTTATTGAAACTTTTGTTTTAGCTAGCCTTGCACTACAGTATTTGGCCATTAGTTGACTTTTGTACAACATTTAACTTTTAGTAGCTTTTATTTAACTTTTAACTAGCCTCACAATACTTTTATCCAATCTGTTATTTTGGCTATTCTTTTGCTACTTGTGGACAAAGTTTAAAGTGCGGCTTTTAGTACATTTAGCTTTAAGTAGCCATTTTTATTTTTAGCTTTTAGCTAGTCTTAGAAATTATGTTGTCACTTTTGGCAAMTCTTTTGTTATTTTTTAGCTATTGTTTTGCAACCATTAGTTATTTTGTACAACGTTTAGCTTTAAGTAGGTTTTTCTTTTACTTTTAGCTAGCCTTGAGCTACATTTACCTAATCTGTTGCTATTTTTAGCTAATGGTTTGGCTACTTTTGACTATTATTTTACAATTTTTAGCTTTTAGCTAGCCTTCTGCAACTTTAGCTTTAAACTAGCATTTTTCTTCTTTTAACTTTTAGCTAGTGTGCTGCTTCTTTAAGCTAACAACCATGTTTCAGCTTCTTCACGCTGCATTATAAGTTTCTGTAACTTGATCTGATTGTTTAATAATCAACTTAAGTAGCATCCATCAGGTTTWCTACATGCTTCACCTGCTTGATTGACACCTGGTGAACCCACCGGTACATGATAAAGTCATGTYGGCGCATGTCTCTGACCTTTTTCTATGAAATCGAAGACAGTGAATGAGTTGCAGCTGCTGGGACTCCTGCAGCTCCCTCCGTCGCGGCCGGATGGTGTTTGTAGGTTTGAGGAATCATTCAGAGCCTCCTTCGCCAGGAGGGAACTCTCTCCTTCACTCGTTCTTTTAGATTTGCTTTTATTTTTCTTTGAAGACATTTTAACACAGAATATTTTCCACGTGAGCGTGGAAACATGAGTAAACACAGGTGCGCATCGATRACTTCCTGGTTAAAGTTTAGCCCCGCCTCCAATTACCGTAAGTCCACGTATAAGTGCTCCACCGTCAGACAAGTAATTTCTGTTTTTTTTTTTTTTCATATTATTGATTGCTTTTTAAACAACCAAATAAACAAATAAATAAGCAGTAAGGAATTTTCGTTAAATTAAAAAACACATGTAAGCCATGTGACTCTTTGAGGAGAGCTGTGCCAAATTCCATATCAATATTTAGCTAGTAATTACAGATAACCTTCTGAAGACATTTAAAAACAGTAAAAATAATTATTAAAGCATTTACAGACATGGTTAGGGTGCGATCTCGCATTCGGGGTATGTTTAATATCAATCAGACCTTTTTTATTTTTGTAAATGGTGTTTTGTGGTTATTTTCTTTGAACTAGTTAAAACTTTTAAGTCGAATTTTTAATAATAACTTGATTTATTTTTGCATAATTTAAAAATGATTTTAAATTATCGTCTCATCAGTCTTTAACTGTTAAGATATTGTTGGCTGTGCCTGTGTAATAAACAGACATTACCGTTGTACGCATAGCTTTTCATTGAGCTTRTACACCAATCATTACGGTATTTACGCAACTTCCAGGGAGGACTTTACGTAACAGCTGAACACAGCCGCACACCAGCCGGTGGTAAACAGAAGATAAATGTCTTTTAAATAGTTATTTTTTTTTAGTTTTAATGCAACATGACGGGCTGCGTCTTCGTTTCAAGACTTTCACTGCTGTTGAGCGAACGGTTGTGTCGTAAAGTGTCGTGCGCGCAGACGGCAGCTCGTACATCGGCTCGTACGTTCTCACGCGCTGTCACCGGTTCCCAGCTTCATGGTAGCGGTTTGACCGGGAAAGTGGACCGGTTCGGTGGRGTGACGGTGGACCTGGGTCAGGTGGGACTGCCGGAGGACATCAGCGAGGATGACTTCAGCAGGTTRCTGCAAGGTTGGCTCTAAAATCAGCTGCACGCGCACGAATTAGAAGTTATTTACTCCCGTTTCAAAATGTCAGGTATGGAAGGCCGTTGTTGCCATTATTATGGACAGATGCACTTCAGTAAAAGGTATAAAACTGTGGAATAATCTGGAAAATGACTATAAAATTATTTAATCAGTTCATTCC